ACCAAAATCAAATAAGTTGTATAGATGTGTATAAGTAAGTGTGAGTTCAAAGCAATCATGCAATCAGTAGCCTATATCTTAGCTTTCATTATTTGATTGTTGACATGATTCATGTCAGATTTCCTACTAAAACAAATTAAGAGTTAATTTCCAAAACGTTATATCCACCAATTTTCCACATTTGTTTTTTTTCATCAAAAATGAATGCTTTTGGTTACCTTTATGTGTGTCCTCAGATTTTTTATTAATAGATTTTAGATGTTTATTGCAAAACGCTATATATCCATTGTTTAGCTGGAATGGAATGTTCGTATCCTGTATATTTAACATATAAATTCAACACATCATACATTTAGCCTCATGCTATAGTGTTTGTTTAGAGTTAGTATTTGGTTAGACCTTGTTCCAAATGGCACCCTATTCCCTATATACAGATGTAGGATCTTAATTTGAGCCAGTTTGCTACAGAGGGAAAATAATCCTGCAGCAACAGGAAATTAGAATTATTATGTGTATTATAATAAATTGACATTATTGTAGGGGTTGATACATTTTTCGTAAGGGAAAATCAAGTCTGAAATTTCAAAGTGGAAATTAGAAACTTCAGAAGCCTTTTTAAACCTCAAATACACTACAAGTTTTACATTTCCCACATTGCATGAAAGTTCTTCTTCAACAGGGAATTTCTATCTGCAACGTTCAAGAAAGGTTTTCAACTGAACGTGGCCCTGGTAACATTACCAGTAGCCTATATGAAAACATTTGGTGGCACAAAAAGAAAGGAAAAGGAATAGCAAACAATTTATTGACTAAATTCCTCTTGCCACTACACTATATCTGACTGGGTAAATAACATTATTTTGACTTAATTTGGACCAAGTGACTCAGACTTGAGCACTTGGACCAGGACTGGAGCACTGGGACTTGGACTTCAGCCATATGGACTCGTGACTCGACTCGACTCGTGATTCGACCATTGGTGACTCGGACTTGGACTCGGACTCGAGCACAGGGGACTTGAGACTCGATTCGGACCCAAGGTTTAGGGACTCAACTACATCACTGGGCAAAACAGTACATATGTTTGTGCATATGGAAGTCAGTGATTTATGTTTACTATATGTTGATGAGGCACACACACACACACACACACACACACACACACACACATATATATATATATATATATATATATATATATATATATATATATATATATATATATATATATATATATATATATATATATATATATATATATATATAATGAGATGTAACTAAATGGCCCACTGTTTTATCATTTGACAACTAAAATGGCCCACTGTTTTATCATTTTGACTAACTACACTAAATCATTATTCAAAAATGTGACTTAATGATATTTTAGTCAAAATGACTAAGACTAGACTAAATATAAAAAAGAGTGCCAAAATTAACACTGACCTAAACATAGCTCCTACCCCAACTCAGGACTAATGACACTGTTGCTGCCGTCCTGCTCGCTCCAGATGGCGTGAAACAAGTTGTCGGATTGTAACAGCGTATCTTGTGTCGAGGCGGTAAAGTCAGGCAGTAAAGTCAGACATGGAGTGGGCCTCTCTCCGTCTGGAATGGAATAGAAGCAGAGGTGTGCCCGAAAGAGACCCTAGATAAGCCACTTTTAACTCAGTGGGCTAAAACATGCTGGCCTTAATAACGCTTTCCCCTTGTAAAAGCTGTAACCTCATTATCAGTGCTGTAGCCTCTTGGGAGACAGGGTGTGAGCAGGGGAATAATACCTAATGAACTGAACCACTAATGTGGTGGTTAATGTTTGTTGATTATTGGACCATTGCTCCATTTATTTGTATGTTTATTTGTATGTGTACATTTACTACATTAGCACTTTAGCTGCATCAGATAAACATGAGGCTTAACCATTTCCTCCTGTGGCTGTTACCAACACAAAAAGGTTTTGTTTTGCGCCTCCGTTTATGGCCTGGAGTGAGTGCACGCTGGGCTATATATACAAAGAATCCCATCATTAACCACTGTCAGCAGCTGCTCGTGGTGTGCTATTTTAAAGTGCTCTGATGTGTAATATCAGAAGAGCTAACGTGGAGGGCAGTGTGATGTTTCTTCACACCCCTCCGTTCACCTGCCCAGTTCCTTCACACATGTTTGCACACAAACCTCGCGACTTGTAAACCCCAAACAAGTATGCGCCCTTGGTATGCATAATCCCATGTGTTTTAGTCCAGTTTCAGCTCCAATTGAAAGACATCTTCAATTGTCCTCTCAGTTCAACATTAATTAGTTTGTGAAATGGGTAAAGTTTATTTTAAGGGCGATGAAATGTAAACCATCTGCCATTGTAAATTGCTTTGGGTCAGTTTAATATTTGATAAGTTATATTCTTGCCATTATATTATGAAACAAGTTTAAATTGAAGATTACCTAGTTCAAAACAAATTACAGAACATTGTTGTCTCGGGAACCTCTTGGAAACAAGATGATTTATCTTTAAGGAGGATTTGATCTGGCAAAATATGTTTTACGGTGTTACTCCATTGATGTTTGTGTTGTCATGAGAGACTTGTCAGTGGCCCACTCTTACAGAGTGGCTTCAAGTGCCCTCTCATCTATTCAAAATGTTATGCCAGAGTTGTTTAACAGAAAGAAAATATCACCCATGGACACTTTGGGCAAAACCTTCAGTGTCACGTGGCACCCTAATCTCTCATGATGACAGCTCTCCATCCATCTAAAATAGGCTAATTTGTCATAGATTCTGTCCTGCAAAGACCAGCGTTCATCACTCTGTCAGTAAGCTAGTTTCTCAGATGTGTTTGTGCCAAGGAACTGTAGCTAGATAGATTCTTAATCTTGAGCACTGTTTTACTAGTCACAAAACAAGACAACATGTATTTCCTTTTACATTATTCTGTTGATTTAGACAACTATTGTTGTCTATAGTGCAATATAACTTTTAGATTAATTTTGCAACTACTGAACAAGTTATTTTATCTGACTTTTCATAACTACATCACAGTGGCTATAGCCAGATGAGTTTTAATGTGCAATAGTGATTTAATAGAAGACGTTGGTTTTTAGCTTAAATATTTTGAAAAACACTTCCATCTAGTCAGTCAGATGGACTTTGTAATACATTTAAAGAGAAGAACTAGAGCCACATTTCAGGCTTAACTTACTGAATATTTGTGATTCTTCTAAGACGATTTTTTAAAATATTGACTGAAAGATTCCACCTGATTATTCAAAATCATAGGAAATCTGCTGTATTCCAAACTAAGCATAGACAATGTAAACCAATGAAAAGATAAGGGAGTGCAAATAAATACTGTTTTTAAGTGTCAGTGTAGCTGTAGGTGGGTGTGGTGGTGGAATCAGGCGCAGGACGCAGAACGTAAGTCCAAAAGACTTTAGTAGATGCACAAACACAAGCACGAATAAATGCCCTGAGGCGAGAACTCCGCACGCAGGCGAAAACAAACGGGCGCACTAAACAGGTGCGACAAAACACTCCAAACAATGGAGAACAGCTCAACCGAGCAAACAGTATACGCACTAGCCAACCGTACGACAGTAAAACAATCACACACAACACTAGACAAACACAACGAGAACTTATAGGACACTAATGACACTAAACGATAACAGGTGTAACAACAATCAGACAAAAGCAAACGAACATAGAAACATGCAACGGTGGCAGCTAGTATTCCGGAGACGACGAACGCCGAAGCCTGCCCGAGCAAGGAAGAGAGGCAGCCTCGGCCGAAACCGTGACATTAAGGGCTAGTCATGTCTATCAACTTTCAACTATCGACTCAACTTTTTCATTTTAAATTCAATTATTATTTAAAATATTAAACAATGATTTATTATATACTAATTGTGTGATAAATTTGACAGATTTATTTTGTTAGTTCCTGTCACTTCATATTTTTTGTATTATTTCCATGACTGAGGTGGGCATCTGACTTTGTTATGTAAGCCCCGTCTACAACCACATTGAGGTAACATGAGGACAACAGAATATTATCTGAATAATTTCTCTTTTAGGTGCCCATGCCATTTCCTCGAAGAAACCCTGCAATCGTGGCTTTTTCCAAAGTCTCTTCTGCTGCCTCTGTCACAAAGAAACAAAGCAAATCCCCATCAACAACAATGACCCCTTATTGGTGGAAGAAAATGGGACCATTTCAAAAGTAAGCTGTCTTCGTCCTTACATCCCTCTCTCCCTCTTGCCCTTTCTTGTGATGTCGACTATCTCACACGTGGTCAACATGATTGAGAGCCACATGGTCGGTACACATGTTTTCTTTGCGCTATGTCCTTTCATGTTTACAAGCTCTCTGGTCAATAAACTATTGCAGTTCGCCCTTAAAAGTAAATATTTTCTACCAATAAATCAATCCAGATGACAGCACGAGTAAAAAAATATATCAAATAAAATCAGCACACACTATAATGTATTATCAGACCACAGTCATTCTGTGTCGGTGTATTAAGGCACATTACTTAATAGCATTCCGTACTAAACAGGAGATGATATCAGGCTATTCCAATTTTTTGGCAGATGACAAAGCCGCCCAAGACTCTATTGAACACATTCTTGGAAAACAACATGGCAGTTAGCTCGCTACGGACAGATCAGGTGTTCAAGACTCTATTGAACACATTCTTGGAGAACAACATGTTAGTTAGCTCACTACGGACAAATCAGGTGTTCAAGACTCTATTGAACACATTCTTGGAAAACAACATGTTAGTTAGCTCGCTACGGACAAATCAGGTGTTCAAGACTCTATTGAACACATTCTTGGAAAACAACATGGCAGTTAGCTCGCTATGGACAGATCAGGTGTTCAAGACGCTTCTCGGGTGTCAGTTTCAGATTTATGCCTTACTTCAGCTTTTTATAGTGATTTGATATTCCAGGAGTTATTTGTCACGTCTCTTGAAGCCCCAAAATAAATTGCTAAGTCTCCTGGAGAGGGAGCTGTGTGCTAGGCTCAGTGTGGTTGTGACCTCCTGTCATGTCAACATGTACACTGCTGCTGCTGTCTCAGACGGGCTGTGGACTCTGTGAATACCCCCAGCAGTGCAAGCCACCAGTACCAAAGGAGCTGTCTGTGAACTACCAGCCCTCTGGAGAAAACAAGTCTCTCTCTCTATGCTTGGAAGAGTTTAAAACCTCTGAACCCTACAAACCTATTGGAGAAGGTCAGCTCTCTGTGTACCTAAAGAAGCACTCTGGTCAAAGCAAAGCTTTTGACACATCTGCCAAAAGCATGCCTGCTGAACACTGTGAGGTGTCTGAACTAATTGAAGCCATGGATTCAAGCGAGCCTTCTGAGCAATCTGCTGAACCCTGCATCATTGTGGACGAAATCAAAAACTCTTTGGACTATACTGAACCCCAAAAGGTCAATGGACAGATTGATCCCTCTGTGCACAGTGCCGATCATTACAACATGAATGGAGAACATGCAGAGGAGAGCAAACCTTCTGTGCATTATAATAGGCATTATGTGGGCTTTGAGCAATGCATCAATAAGCCCTGTGAGGACTATCCAGCTCTTCACAAGCACACTAATCAGTGTAAGTCTTCCGAGTTAAGCAAATCATTTGAACAATGTACTCAACATTGTGAGTGCTTTGAGTTCAGCAAGTCCTCTGAGCACTGTGCTAATGACTGTCTAGCTTCTGTATTTAGGCAACACTGCGAACATTGCACAGGACACTTTCAGTCATCTGAACAATGCAAGCCTTCTGATCAACACTGTATGTCCTTTGAGCCAAGCAAACCTGCTGAGAACTCTGTGTTTTTTGAGCAATGTAAGATATATGACTTCATACCTGACATCTCTGAATCCACTAAATCAATCAGATCATTTGAGCACTGCACTGGTATTTGTGAGTATTCAGAAAAATACAATCATATTGAACACCCAACAGAATATAATGAGACTACAATGCCATGTAATGAGGATTTAAAGCCCTCTGAGCCAACAGTTCAACAAATTGAAATCTGTGGGCTTTTTGACTCTGAGTTTTGCACAACATTAGAACCTATACATTCTTCAGATTTGAACAAGCCTTCTCAACGCTATGCTGAACAAGTTGTTCCCAATGAAAGTAGACATGTCTCTAAAGTTTGTGAACCCACTGAGCAAACTCTGCTTACTGAACAAAGCAGTCATCAATCTGCTGAATATGATATACCCTCTGGGCACTGTGAACTGCAAAACAATCTCTACGAGCAAAGTGAGACAAGTGTACAGTGTGAACTGTCTGAGCGATGTAATTCTTGTGAGAGGTGTCCCGGTCAACATCAAAGCATAAATGACAAGTACTATGAGCCTAGCATTGCATTATATTCTGAGGAAGACAAGTCTTCTGAGTGCTCATCCATTGAAACAAGGTATTTTGAATCTTGCATAGATGACAGTATGAATTCAGACCCATTAACTGATTCAGCTGAATCCTATGAAGCATTAGTGGAAGAAGGAGCACCGGACAAATCCAGTGATGATAAAGTTAAATTCTGTTCAGAGATATGGGAATCTTTTGACAATTGTCCAGATGCGGTAGAATGTGAGGAAAGCAATCCTGATGAAGACAAACCTCACTCGGATGCAGTCGTTGTTGAGGAATTCTTTGACTTATTCGATAAAGAGGATACTTATACCTTTTCTCAAAGGCGACCTTATACCTCCTGTTTTGAAGGGGGAGGGGTTCATGAGCACATTTCTGAACAACTTAAACCTCACGTGTCTATTATGAATGAGGAAGAAACACATATGCCCTGTGCCAAAAAAGGGCTTGAACCACTTGCTTTAGATGAGAAAATCAATGAGAATGAAGATTTTAGTCAAGAAGAAGTTGATGAATCTTATGAAACTTGTGCTGAGGACAGACAATTGAATGTAGACTGTGCTGATGATGAGGCATCAGCCTCTGGATCCTTTGCAGAGGAGGAAACATGTGAATCTTGTTTTGAAGAAGCCTCAGCTTATGAAGTTGACGTTTATGAAGCTTTTGTAGCAAAAGAAAATGCTATTAAGGCTGAGGCCCACAAGCCCTTTGTTGAGGAAGATGAACTTTGCATTGCTGAAGATAAAGCTGGTGAGGCTCAGGCCAATGAACCCTTAGTTGATGAGGACAACATGTACGAACACAGTGCAGAGGAAGCTTCTCATGGATCCTCTGCTGATGTGTCTTTTGTTGACGATGATGAAGCATATGAGGGCCAAAATGATCAGACTTATGAACCATGCTTTGAAAAAGAGAAAACTTGTGATGAAGAAAACCAGAAAATACGCATCACAGAAGATGAATTATACAAGCCATATGCTAGAGACAAAGCTTATGGATCCTATGAACAGTGTGGTGAAGATTGCATCGCATATGGCTGTGAACATACAACATTTTCCACCGAAGGGGAAGCTTATACACTCTGCACTGAGGAGAAAGCCTGTGATGAAGAGCACCATGAATATGAAAGCAAAGCCAATGAATCTAATGTAAACCAAGAAGCTAACGGATTCTGTGATGAAGAAGACTCTCATGATACATGTAATGAAGGAATTGATGACAGCACTCCTGAGACATATTTTAAAGATGGAGTGTGCACTGAGGAGGGAGAGCATGATGCTCCATGTGCTGAGGAGAGTGAATGTTCTGACTCATTTGAGGTTATAACCAAAGACACTGTATTATGCACTGAAGGAAGCAAACCAGCTATGCCTGATGGTATTGCATTCAATGGAGATCAAACTGATTCCTCTACAACCTCTTTGAAAGAGATAGATGAGCAAAACAAGTCATCTGAATTGTGTGAGGATCTGAACACACCATATCTGTCTGAGAACTGGGAGGAACACAATGGTGTCTCAGAGCATCTCCAACCCTCAGAGTCAGAGGACTTTTCAGAGCAGGTGTCTAAGAAAACAAGCCCCTCTTTCGATGGTGCTGAACATAGTAAAAACTCCATGGTCAGCGAGCCACCTGAACATCACGCCGAACAAACAGAGCCCGCTGAAAAAAGTGAGCTGGATGAGAAAATGGAGTCGCATGAATTCTTTAAGATTGTGGCCTCTGAACAACCAAGTGAGGAGTCTGAGGAGGAGCTGAGTGACGATGAGTCTGAGGAGTCCTGTGAATGCGAGTACTGCGTTCCACCTAGAGACCAGGTATTTTAAGGTCTTTGCACCTTTCTTCCACTGGAATAGCTGTGACATGCACCTCATTTGATTTAGAGCTTCGCTTTCAAATGATATATGAACGTTTCAGGTATTGCATCAAACTGAAATTTGACAGAGAAAATAGTCAAATGTGTTTGTCAATGTATTTGGCCTATTTTCTTTATGTATTGACCATTCAGTTTTAGTTTTGGCTTTGGATCAAATTTGTGGCAACAGAACTGAAATAAAGGAGGATATGGCTAAACATAGGGCTCTTATTGCTTGACACAGCGGGTGGTAAATGTCAACCTATAAAATATATGATCTCCTGACCTGGTTATTTACTCTGCTGGGGAAAACAAATTTGGATTGCACGGTATTATAGGCTGCTTATTTGGTCATCACATATTCTCTAGCTAGTATAGTCGGTTTCACAGTGTTGACTACTTGATGAGGGAAGGGTTAGCTCATAGTCAGCCCACAGACCCATGATAGTCCACAGTCACATTGACATTTACTTGTTCCATCAACAGAACACCAGCTGTTTGGAAATTGCTGTCTTATGCCCCCCTATGGACACACTCCTCTATAACTAATTTCTCTCAACCTCACAAGCAAACCTTTTATCAGTGTGTTTTCTCACTACGATTTCATGAGGTAATGTTATTAATCATCAGTTTAATTCATGACCCACATGCACATTTTTGAATGGTTTTTGCATCATGTCACAGTGTTGTCTTGATTTGCTTTAGAGCACAAACATTGCAAAATAATCCAATTGCATCTATGAATTTGATGTCATCATTTGGCTCTTCATTTACCTAACATCTACCTATTTGCGTTTAGGTCCCAGCAAAACCTCTGCTCCCTCAAATCAAATCAAAAGATGCAGGGAAGATCTGTGTGGTGATTGATTTGGATGAAACATTAGTGCACAGTTCATTCAAGGTAAGCTGATGTGTGTGACCCACTCTTTAAGGACAAATGCTAACGGACTAGACTTGATTGTTTTCCACTCTCTCTTTTATACTAATTAGTAGAGCAAAATGTAAATAATAATTTATTTGATGAAGAGCATTGTTTTTATTCTATGTCCATATCAATATTAATTTCTTCAAAAAGACTTCAAAAGCAAACATACTTTTAGGAGATCCTATACTCAAGGGATCAAGAAACACAATTCTTGCCAAATTCAAGCAAGTTCTTCAGGGTCAGATAACCACTCTTGTAATGGCCATGGTTAAAGAATACATTTGACTTCCAAGGAACCGTTCACACCTAGTATTGAAATTATAGTCCATATCAAATAATGTGTTATATGTCCCTTTGTGTTCACAACTTGCCTATACAAGTTTCATGATTGTATCTGCTGTGATCAGATTTATTTGGAATGTTAATTGTTGTTAATGAATGTTTAAGTTGTTAAAGGGATAGTTCGGGATTTTGGCAATGAAGCCCTTTATCTTAACATCCCACTGGGCACACACTAGTTGAATCAACGTTGTGTTCACGTCATTTCAATGAAATTACATTGAACCAACGTGGAATAGAGGTTGAATTGATGTCTGTGCCCAGTGGGTTGTGGATACCGTTTTTATGTCTCTGCGTACAGTTTGAAGAAAGTTGCTAACTAGCATTAGCACGATTGCTAACTAGCGTTAGCGCATTGACTGTAAGTCTATGGGAAGAGCTAGCATGCTAGTTGTTCCTACAGACTTCCAGTCATTGCGCTAACGCTAGTTAACATTGGATCGCAAAACTGCCTCTAACTTCCTTCGTATTGAACGCAGAGACATACAAATGGTATCCACGAGTTAATCTGACTGGGGAAGCAGATAAAGGACTTCATTGCCAAAATCCTGAACTATCCCTTTAATGGTTGAGTGCACCATTAAAAATGTCGTTGTGTGGCTTCTAGCAAGTATTCTTATCTATGCTACTCGGTATATCCACAATTGGCTGCGTAATGGGCATTATGTACTCTTGCCCACCACAGATGGTCTTGGCAATCTAATCACAGTCTGTCCCAAAGGATGTCACCGGATTGGGCCACAGGTTTAAACTATCAATGAAAGTGGCAGCATTTGATTGAAGGCGAGTTGTAGTGGTGCAGTTTTGAGGCACTTGTAGTTTTGGTTAGGGTGTATATAATTGGATTGATGTTCAGTTTTGATAGACCAAATGTTAATTTTGTCTCTGGAACAGCAGTGGAGATCTTTATTTATTTCAGCATCTTGAGAGAATGCGAATGCGCGCTTAGGGACCAGTTGTGTAGCCTCAACGTGCAATTTCTTTCAGCAAAATAAAAGCTGACAGTATTTCATTTTCAACCACATAAAATAATTTTTACAAACATGTTGTATCGTTTTCACAGCTTTTCATTTCCTTAAAACCGGTCAAACTGATGTCATTTGGAAATCTCCCTGGTCCCTAAACGTCCTCACTCCATGAGAGAAGCATAAATGAAAGAGAAAACTTTACCGGTGTCAACTAGATTGTTGATGGTGTAATTCCTGTCCTAGAACGGAAATTATAGTTTAGGTTCCACCTCAAAGACTGACTCAGGCTGCTATTCAGCAATTGGGGGTGGGAACGTGGTGGTGATTTCCACATGTTTCAGAGAAATAACAACAAATAGGCCACTGACTGACAGCTGTCAGTGTAACTAGCTAGCATGCTAACATTGGCCAGCTAATGAAAGTTATGTGAGCACCATTTCAGTTAAGACGGGTGAAAATAATGATTTCCTAAAAAAGAATATCAGCATACCTGTCAAGAGATGAGTCTAAGCTAAATAGTGCCTATACGAGCTGTTGACATGTTGAGGGTTGTTGTTTGATAATTACAATGAAACCGTGTCGGATTCCAGACGTCATTACAATTGGACATGCACACGGACATGATCAAATAGCTATATACTTTGTTCTCTCTTATCATTTCAGAAAGTATTCATACCCCTTGACTTATTCCACATTTTGTTGTGTTACAGCCTGAATTCAAAATTGATTAAATAGATTTTTGTATCTCACCCATCTACACACAATACCCCGTAATGACAAAGTGAAAACATGTTTTTAGAAATGTTAGCAAAGTTCTTAAAAATGAAATACAGAAATATCTCATTTACATAAGTATTCACACCCCTGAGTCAAAACATGTTAGAATCACCTTTGGCAGCGATTACAGCTGTGGGTATTTCTGGTTAAGTCTCTAAGAGCTTTGCACACCTGGATTGGACAATATTTGCACATTATTCTTATTTAAAAACTCTTCAAGCTCTGTCAAGTTGGTTGTTGATCATTCCTAGACAGCCATGTTCAAATCTTGCCATAGATTTTCAAGCCGATTTATGTCAAAACTGTAACTAGGCCACTCAGGAACATTCAATGTCATCTTGGTAGGCAAATCCAGTGTATATTGTCCTGTTGAAAGGTGAATTTGTCCCCCAGTGTCTGTTGGAAAGCAGACGGAACCAGGTTTTCCTCTAGGATTTTGCCTGTGCTTAGCTCTATTCCGTTTATTTTTATCCCAAAAAACTCCCTAATCCTTGCCGATGACAAGCATACCCATAACATTATGCAGCCACCACCCTGCTTGAAAATATGAAGATTGGTACTCATTGATGTGTTGTCCTAACACTTTGTATTCAGGACATAACGTTAATTTCTTTGCCACGTTTTTTGCAGTTTAACTTTAGTGACGTATTGCAAACAGGATGCATGTTTTGGAATATTTTTATTCTGTACAGGCTTCCTTATTTTCAATCTGTCATTTAGGTTAGTATTGTGGAGTAACTACAATCTTGTTGATCCATTCTCAGTTTTCTCCTATTGCAGTAAACTCTGTAACTGTTTCAAAGTCAACATTGTCCTCATGGTGAAATCCCTGAGCAGTTTCCTTCCTCTCCAGCAACTGAGTTAGAAAGGACGCCTGTATCTTTGTGGTGATTGGGTGTATTGATACCATCCAAAGTGTAATTAATAACTTTACCATGCTAAAAGGTATACTCAATATGTGCTTTTAGAACATTTTTCCCATCTACAAATAGGTGCCCTTCTTTGTGAGGCATTGGTAAACCTTCCTGGTCTTTGTGGTTGAAGCTGTGTTTGGAATTCACTGCTCGACTGAGGTACCTTAGATACAGTGAGGGAAAAAAAGTATTTGATCCCCTGCTGATTTTGTACGTTTGCCCACTGACAAAGAAATGATCAGTCTATAATTTTAATGGTAGGTTTATTTGAACAGTGAGAGACAGAATAACAACAAAATAATCCAGAAAAACGCATGTCAAAAATGTTATGAATTGATTTGCATTTTAATGAGGGAAATAAGTATTTGACCCCCTCTCAATCAGAAAGATTTCTGGATCCCAGGTGTCTTTTATACAGGTAACGAGCTGAGATTAGGAGCACAGTCTTAAAGGGAGTGCTCCTAAATAGCTTGTTACCTGTATAAAAGACACCTGTCCACAGAAGCAATCAATCAATCAGATTCCAAACTCTCCACCATGGCCAAGACCAAAAAGCTCTCCAAGGATGTCAGGGACAAGATTGTAGACCTACACAAGGCTGGAATGGGCTACAAGACCATCGCCAAGCAGCTTGGTGAGAAGGTGACAACAGTTTGTGCGATTATTCGCAAATGGAAGAAACACAAAAGACCTGTCAATCTCCCTCGACCTGGGGCTCCATGCAAGATCTCACCTCGTGGAGTTACAATGATCATGAGAACGGTGAGGAATCAGCCCAGAACTACACGGGAGGATATTGACAATGATCTCAAGGCAGCTGGGACCATAGTCACCAAGAAAACAATTGGTAACACACTATGCCGTGAAGGACTGAAATCGTGCAGCGCCCGCAAGGTCCCCCTGCTCATGAAAGCACATATACAGGCCCGTCTGAAGTTTGCCAATGAACATCTGAATGATTCAGAGGAGAACTGGCTGAAAGTGTTGTGGTCGGATGAGACCAAAATTGAGCTCTTTGACATCAACTCAACTCGCCGTGTTTGGAGGAGGAGGAATGCTGCCTATGACCCCAAGAACACCATCCCCACCGTCAAACATGGAGGTGGAAACATTATGCTTTGGGGGTGTTTTTCTGCTAAGGGGACAGGACAACTTCACTACATCAAAGGGACGATGGACAGGGCCATGTACCGTCAAATCTTGGTTGAGAACCTCCTTCCCTCAGCCAGGGCATTGAAAATGGGTCGGGGATGGGTATTCCAGCATGACAATGACCCAAAACACACGGCCAAGGCAACAAAGGAGTGGCTCAAGAAGAAGCACATTTAAGGTCCTGGAGTGGCCTAGCCAGTCTCCAGACCTTAATCCCATAGAAAATCTGTGGAGGGAGCTGAAGGTTCGAGTTGCCAAACGTCAGCCTCGAAACCTTAATGACTTGGAGAAGATCTGCAAAGAGGAGTGGGACAAAATCCGGGTGTGTTCGTAAATTTAATCTGGAGTGCCAGAGTGTGCTCTTGGCATTCGTAAACTCAGTTGTCAGATTGGCCTTTCGTAAATTCGGCACGTTCAGAGTGTACACTAGACGCTCTGGCCGAAAAGTAGTGTTGATCCGAGCGTTCTGACCTAACAACAGCAGTCAAGCAACATTCTATTGAAATAGTTACAATGAACCATAATCCCAACTCATAACGTTACTACCCTGCATGAATCTGCAGGTAGCTAACCAACCAGGTTCAATGTTAGCTAGCTAACATTAGGCTATAACTAGCAATGCAAATGACTCTGAGATACAAATAATATTACTACACAGATCATACATGTAACGTTAGGTAGCTAGCCAGCCAGCTAACGTTAGCTAGCGAGCTAACAGTACACTTTAACTTGAAATGAAAACAACAATATTAGAAACATGTAATATCTGAAAATGTTGCTAGCTAGACTCTCTTACCCGTATACATGGATGGATGCTTCTCCCTCT